CAGAAAGGATATCCCCGGCAGGCCTGCTCCAACCATTACCAATACCGAAGAAGCCATGGGCAGTGGTATCGCTTGATTTCATCGAAGGCTTGCCCAAGTCCTGTGGGTATGACGTGATCTTGGTGGTAGTGGACAAGTTCTTGAAGTATGCCCACTTCGTGCCGATGGCACACCCTTACACAGCTCTCCAAGTGGCCAAGCTATTCATGCGAGATATATTTCGTCTCAACTACCACTGGCTCTCATATAGACAGAGACCGAGTGTTTACGAGCAACGTGTGGCAGGAATTGTTCAAGTTATGCCGCACTGAACTGCGAATGAGCTCATCTTATCATCCACAGACGGACGGGCAGACAGAGAGGGTGAACCAGTGCTTGGAGACCTACCTCAGATGTGCCGTCCATGCGTGCCCGACCAACTGGGCGAAATGGTTAGGGCTGGCCGAATTCTGGTACAATACCTCGTTTCACTCCTCACTGGGCAAAACTCCGTTCGAAGTCATATATGGCCACATGCCTCGTGAGTTTGGAGTGTCGCAGATCGACAACTGTTCTGTTCCAGATCTGGCAGCATGGCTACATGAGAGAGAAGTCATGGTGGAGCACTTACAACAGCAGCTGAAGAGAGCACGGGATCGCATGAAGGCGCAAGCTGACCGACACCGAACTGAGCGTTCGTTTGAGGTCGGGGATTCAGTATTGCTCAAACTACAACCATTTATTCAGACTTCCATCGCCCAACGGCCATTCCAGAAACTTGCCTTCAGGTATTACGATCCTTACAAGATCGTTTCCAAGGTGGGGGCAGTGGCATACAAGCTGGACCTGCCGCCCACAAGCAAAATCCATCCAGTGGTGCACGTCTCTTTGTTGAAGAAGGCGGAAGGCGCCGAAGTGCAGGTAAACCCTGTCCTACCGCCGGCTAACGAGATTTTGCAGGCAGAACATGTGCCGCTGGCCATCCTCGACACCAAGCAAGTCAACAAAGTGAACAAAGGCCAGCACCCGTCTCTTGATACACTGGGCGGGACTGCCGGCATCGTTGGCCACCTGGAAAGATCCAAGTCGACTTCAACATCGGTTCCCCACCACATCGCCTTGGGGGCAAGGCGGCACTCAAGGAGGGGCGAATGTCACGTCTGACGGAGCAACCCCACCGCCACCGCAAGGCACTAACGAGCGGGGACCACAAGGCAGGAAGATTGAAGCTGGGCAAGGAGCTGAAACTCTTACAGGTGGGCCCGGAGAGGCAGAGTAGTAGGTGTGCGTGAGTTGGCTGTGGCCGTGATGTATTAAAGCCTCCAAGCTGGGTGTGAGTGGGTATGGTTGAACACGCAACTGAAACAGATCGAGAAGCTGCCCTTCTCTTATCGGCCTCCTTTCCCCTCCTCAGATCCTCTCTCTCTGTCGATCCTCTTCTCCCACCTGCCCTCTAGATCGGTGTTGTTACAAGATGGGATAGGAGCACGTTTTGGGAAGAGACAAGCTGGGCACTTGGGATTTGATCCATCTGAAAACAATCGATTTCATGATAGAAAGAATATGAAGATAATCGATGCATGCTTTTTATTGAATGAAATACTCAACGGAATCCCCAACAAATTCTTCAAGATTCTGTAGGAATCATCTTTCATTCTCGAGAAGGGAATCATCTTTCTTCCTCACGTTTATGGGAAGGGAGTCATCTTTCGTCCTGAAGATTTTGTTGGAGAAAAATTGCAAGGCTGTAAAGCATGTCATGCTGAACACTAGCAAATGACAATGATCCCTAATTTGCACGTAGCGACTATAAAGAGGTGTCTAATCTCCATACCAAGATGAACAAGCTCTGTTGTGCTTTCTTGATGCCATCGGGACCACTATGGGCAGCTAGAGAACACACTTCTTCCGGGACGCCTCTCATTCCCAAGTATCCGTTGGCTGCTAATGAAATACATGGGAAACTATAACAAGATCGGCACTAGGCAGATTGTTTAACGGCGCTGTGATGGATCTACCTCAAGCTACCTGCCTCGCAACTTCTCTAGTTCTTTCTTTCCTGTCTTTCCGTATTTAACTTCTGTGTGCTTCTCTCGACCTCTTCTGTGAGGCTGAGCAACCCCTTCTTCTTATGCTCCTCTTTGCATCCTCATTGACGCCTCTTGGTGTACGGCAGTTAAGGGCCGCACGGCTGTAATTTTCAACTTCTGTCAATAAAAAGATACGCAATTTGCGTATTCGCGAAAAAAAATTGTTTCTCTCGACCTCTTTGGCAATGAATGCTGAGACTGTTTTTCCACATGGAACATCAGGCCTTTGTACTACGTCCGTAAAAAAAAGGAACAACGTACTACTTCCGTATTTCTGAAGCAATATGTTTTGATAGCTCCACCAAACGAACAAGTCATATAATCCCGTAACTGACGTATTGTTCATCGTGGTACGTTATTTATAAATGGTAGAGCGCTCGCTTAGCATGCGAGAGGTACGGGGATCGATACCCCGCATCTCCATGATATTTTGTTGTAATTTCTGTGTGTTTTTCTGACAAATGTACTTTTTTTTAGGTGAACAAATGTACTTTCTGTGTTGAAAGCTTTTTTTCTGGACGCAAACGTAGTACCAGTGGGCCGTCCAAGTGTGTACGTGGGCCATTCACACGGCCCAATAGTTTTTTCACCCCTTCCTAAGAAAAAGGTTCGCTTCAGAAAATCAAGACCATGTTGCGATGCACGCAAGCAAAAGCATCGGTTCTTATTCTTTTTGAAAATGGAACACCGGATTCCATTAGACTCCAACCACAACTGTCGGAGTATTACCTCCGTTTAGGTGAATAAGTCATTTGTGTAGTTTTAGATCATCGATTTGAGGAATTAAATATGTATTATATGTCATGAAAAATATATCACTAGATTTCTACACAATTGTAGTTTCTAAATATTTTTTATCACATAATACATATTTAAATAGTTAAATCGTCGATCTAAGACTACGTGAATGACTTATTCATCGAGATGGAGGTAGTACCAAAGAGCTAGCTCCACGAGAAGTTGTAGCATGAGCTACTTTATTACATGCCCCGAGGGTTAAAAGTGTAAACCATCGAATTATCTCTACTCCTAATGTCTCATTTGGTAGGCTAGCTTTCATGGGTTTTTTCTCCCACTTTCGTCAGGTTTTTTTTCATCTCCACGCCCCCTACGCACCACCAAAAAAGAAACCCCACCCTCGCACGAAACTTTGCTCCTCTCAATCCCCTCAAACTCTCAGTGTAGACGTCGCCGCCGACGTACGATCTTCCTGACGCAGCCGCATGAGATTGCCGCCGACGCTGACGTCTAGGATCGACTTCTCTCGCTGCCGCGATCTCGTGCGAACTCCCTGCTGCCGACGAACGGGATTGCCGCCACCGACCTCCCGGATCGGTGTCCCTCGCTGCCGCCGACGTACGTCTGGGATCGACGCTCTCGAACTCCCAAAGGAGAGGTCGTCGACGACATCTGGGATCGACGCCGCGAACGTAAGGGATAACCACCTCCACCCACGAGATCGTCGCCGCCGCCGACGACATCCGGGATCGACTTCTCTTGCTGCCGCGATTGATGTGGTCACCTTTTACAGGTAGGGTCAAGGACCCGTCATTTGGGACCCACATGGGGCCCATCACCATCATAGGCAAGTACCTGGACCATGCCAACATTCGGATGCATACGTCAGGACGTTCACTCGGACTGCTCGCGGCACTCGAACAACCACACGTCACTCGACTGATGTACCACCACTCAGGCATAGAAGGCGCTGAGCCTCCACGAGTGGCACCCGCATGTCGGGTGCCGCCGGGTAGTCCGCCTCATATAGGAGGCGACCCTCCGCCTCATGCAGGTGGCGGCGGCCGAAGCCGTTGGCCGCCGCTCCGTCGCCGAGGAAGCGCTCGGCCATGATCACGGCTTAAGACGGGGGGAGAGAGGGCGTCGACGGTGAAGAAGAGAGGGGCGTCGGCGGCAAGACAGAGAGGTTGTGGCGAGCAAGTGTGCGGCCAGCGGCGAGGAAGGGTTGGCTTTTATAGCGGCGAGTGGGCGGCGAGCGAGCGGCATCAGTGTGGACGCGTGGTGGGAGGGGGCGGGACGCGCGGCGGTGGCGCGTCTTCACTGCGCCGCCCGTGAATCAATGGAAGGCTGACCGGTGGCAGCCTTCGCATTGATTCCTGTGGGAAACCGAGGCGATGATGACGACGAAGATTCTCGGCATCGCCCAGTCGCTGACTCGGCGGGTCCACCAGGCTTTCGCGCCAAAAATGTTTCCCCCGGCGTCTCGAGTGCGCCGGGTTCTGTCTGAATCCGTCGGCGCTAATTTCAGTCCTAAACAGCAAAAATTAGGCTTCTGTAGATGTGATTGGACCGATTTTTTCGAACCGGCGATAAAAAAAGGGCTTGAGAGGTCCTTGGGGAGTGGAGATGCTCTAACCAGTTGACCTGAGTTACTCGGCTCACACACAGGTGCCACCTCGGCACTCCTCAGTACATGCTGATACATAAAACTTCAAGATTTTTACAGCTAACAGACGGAGTAGTTGGCGCGTGATCTTAAGCCCGGATTGTTGCCGCTGTTCCCGTTATAAATGACACCCACTGGTTGCCGTGAGGACGCCAGAAGCCCAGTCAAGCTAGCTTCAGCTCAGGCTCCGCACCAAAGAAGCCATGGCGACCAGCAGCTCAGTAGCAGTACTGGCCGTCCTGGCCACCGTCGCCGCGCTGGTCTCCCCGGCCATGTCCCTACCCGTCTTCACCGGCGACGTCGGCGTCTCTCCGGGCTTCCACGCCGCGTCGTGCCCGCAGCTGGACGGCATCGTGCGGTCGTCCGTGGAGGCGGCGCTGCAGCGGGAGGTGACGCTGGCGGCGGGCCTGCTCCGGCTCTACTTCCACGACTGCTTCCCGCAGGGCTGAGACGCCTCCATCCTCCTCAACACCACCTCCGCCCGCGAGACGGCGCTGCTCCCCAACCTCACCATCCGGCCGCGCGCCATGCAGCTCATCGAGTCCATCCGCGCCAGGGTGCACGCCGCCTGCGGCTCCGTTGTGTCATGCGCCGACATCACCCTGTTCGCCACCCGCCACAGCATCGTCGTGTCCGGCGGGCCCTGGTTCTCCGTGCCGCAGGGCAACCTCGACAGCCTCGCCCCGGCGTCACAGGACAAGGTGTCCAACCTCCCGTCGCCCACGACGGCCAGCGTGGCCAAGCTGGTGGAGTCCTTCCGCACCCGGGGCCTCGGCGACGTGGCCGACCTCGTGGCGCTCTCCGGCGCGCACACCATCGGGCGGTCGCACTGCGGCAGCTTCGCCGACCGGTCCCGGCGCGCGGACGACACCTTCTCGCGGAAGCTGGCGGCCAACTGCAGCAAGCACCCGGACCGGCTGCAGAACCTGGACGTGGTCACCCCCGACCTCTTCGACAACGGGTACTACAAGGCGCTGCGGTCCAACCAGGGCGTGCTCACCTCCGACATGGCGCTCGTCAAGAATAAGACCACGGCGGCCATCGTGAAGCGGTTCGCCCAGAGCAAGGACGCCTTCTTCCGGCAGTTCGCCAGGTCCATGGAGAAGCTCGCCAGGGCGCCCAAGCCGGCGGGCAACGTGGGCGAGATCCGGCGCTTCAGCTGCTTCAGGACCAACGCCCAGCGCGCCGACGCTGCCGGTGAGGAGGAGGGGGAGGAGGAGGAGGAGGGCTTCGCCGCCTCCGCCTGATGGCTCGGTCAAGTACGTGCGTACGGTCGTCGTCGGCAAGCAGGCTCTGCCCGTGTTTGAGTTCTCGACTTGCTTCTTTTTTCTACGTGCATGGTTCATGTAGCAATAAAGAGACAGAGCTTTCGATTGTCGTTGCATCTGATCTTGATGAACTATGTCAATTAATCTCGACACCTATGTACGTGTCGCATTGCTCTAGATAGCGATAATAATACTAGTAAGCGTGTGTGAGGGCAAAGGTGATGGGTCGAGAAACGCAAAGGTGGTGGGTCGAGCTTTTTTCTTACGAAAATGCTAGACCTACGTACGGCTATTACGTGACTTACGTAAACTTTCATTCCATCTAACTAAATACTCCCTCCCTGATTCTCAGGGTGGGCCCCAGCCTCCACTAATATCCAATGAAAGACAACCAAATCACCCCATATGTAAGGTACGTAAAAACCTTTTCGCAGGTGTAGCATTGCTCTTTTTCTTATGGATTCGTGTAGTCATAAAGAGGGACCTTATACCTAGGGAACGTTCGTCAGAGGAGGCGGCACACGCGAACGGTCGCATGACAGTTTCTTCAGGCGACATGTCCTTCTGAGAAGGCAATTTCGTTTAAAACCTACTTGTTGTCATTTGATCTCGCTTTTTCACTCAAACAGTCATCATATATGATTCGCTTGCCACCCCTACAGCGAGCGTTCGCTAGCTACCATTACCGACAAAGAGACTTTTCTTTTCTTGACACAGAGCTTTTGAGTTTCGTCCTTGCATCTGCCGGTCCATGTTGTGTGTTCTACTATCTCTAAACTGCCCCCAACAACTTATATTTAAAAATGAAGGTAGTACTTACTATATGAAACAAAAAGTCTTAGGAGAATTGGTCACCATTAATTAATTAACAGTGCACAATGCATGCGCCGAGTTGCTCCCTCAATTAAGCTGGACAGGGACTTCACGATCCTGGATGTAAGGTGTGTTTGAATATGAATAAATGGCGCCTTCAGGTGCCTTTGTCTTTCAAAAAAAGAAAGTTGAGGGAGATGTTTGGTGCCATATGGGCACGCTCGTGGCTGGTCTAAACGCCGTGCGCGAGGTGGCCTCGATCGATACCTTCGATAATCTGTGTACCCTTGCTAGACTCGTCAAGAACAGCCTTTTTTCTTTTCTGGGTGAAGGGTCCGATCCATGCGAGAGTTGATGACCATTTGTCCATTTGACCACTTTTGGCAAACGAATATATTCTATTCCCTACAACCTGTAAAAAAGCAAACAATTTTTTTTCTTTTTTATCAACAAAGAAATAATTTCTTTTTTAGGTCCACCCCACTTAATCCGGTCACGTGAGCGTTGATGGCGTCCATTTGACCAGCTTTAGCAAACGAATATATTCTATTCCCTACTACCTATGAAAGAGCAAACAATTTCTTTCTTATGTCCACCCAACTTAACCTGATCATGTGAGCGTTGATGGCGTCCATTTGACCAACTTTGGCAAACGAATATATTCTATTCCCTACTACCTGTAAAAGAGCAAACAATTTCTTTTCTTTTCATCGACAAAGAAACAATTTCTTTCTTAGATCCACCCCACTTAACCCGATCACGTGAGCGTTGATGGCATCCATTTGATCAGCTTCGGCAAACGAATATATTCTATTCCGCACTACCTGTAAAAGAGCAAACAATTTCTTTCTTTTTTATCGACAAAGAAACAATTTCTTTCTTAGGTCCAACCCACATAACCCGATCACGTGAGCGTTGATGACCACTTGTCCACTTGATCGGCAACCAAATGTATCCCATCTCTAATATTTATTCTTTTGGGGGGCAAAGAAGCAATTTCCTTTTTAGGTGCACCCCACTTAACACTATCAACATGCGTGTTGATCACCACTTGTCCACTTGACCATCTTTAGCAAGCGAATATATTCTATTCCCTACTACTTATAAAAGAGCAAACACTTTCTTTTTTTTGGACAAAGAAACAATTTCTTTTTTAGGTGCACCCCATTTAACCCTATCAACATGAGCGTTGATGACCACTTGTCCACTTGACCAGCTTTGGCAACAAATGTACTCTATCTCTACTACCCCCTTCGTTCCAAATTACTCGTCGAAGAAATGGATATATCTAGAACTAAAATACATCTAGATACATCCATACCTGCGACAAGTAATTCGGAACGGAGGGAGTACTTATAAAAGTGCGAACAATTTCTTTCTTTTTTCGACAAAGAAACATTTTTTTGTCTTAGGTGCAACCTACTTAACCCTATCAACGTGAGAGACTTGTCCACTTGACCAGCTTTGGCAAACAAATGTATTCCATCTACTACTTATAAAAGTGTGAACAATTTGTTTCTTTCTTTTTTTGACAAAGAGACAATTTCTTTCTTAGGTGCACCCCACTTAATCCTATCGGCGTGAGCGTTGATGATCACTCGTCCACTTGACCAGCTTTGGCAAACAAATGTATCCTATCTCTACTACTTATATCAGAGCAAAGAGTTTCTTTCCTTTTCTCGACAAAGAATCAATTTCTTTCCTAGGTGCACCCCACTTAAACCGATCAATGTGAGCATTGATGACATCTTGTCCACTTGACCATCTTTGGCAAATAAATGTATCCTATCTCTGCTACTTATAAATGAGCAAATAATTTCTTTCCTTTTTCCGTCAAGGAAACAATCCCTTTCTTAGGTGCACCCTACTTAACCTGATCAATGTGAGCATTGATGACCACTTGTCCACTTGACCATCTTTGGCAAACAAATGTATCCTATCTCTACTACTTATAATAGAGCAAACATATTTTTCCTTTTTCAGGCAAATAAACAATTTCTTTCTTAGGTGCACCCCACTTAACCTGATCAATGTGAGCGTTCATGACCACTTGTCCATTTGACCAGCTTTGGCAAACAAATTTATCCTATCTATACTAGTTATAACAGAGCAAAAAATTTCTTTCTTAGGTGCATCCCACTTAGCCTACACAAAGCACTGACCACCTCACGATCAGATCCACTTAAAACATCTAACTATCCAGATTAGTTTAACCCTTGGCTAAAAAGACCTTTAGCAATTTACACGGCGGACCATAGAGGGAGCAGACAAGGTTCCACACCCATGTCCTGTATTCGCTCTTGCACGGTTAAATCTATACCTACCAATAAAGGGAGGATTGTTTCTATAGCCTGTCGCTCATTTTTATAGAAAATCCCCTGCCTTTTCTAAGAATAACCTCGCTGTCTAGTTTTAAGTCAGAGTTTTGCTTTTGTAGAAAATCCACTAATGTTTCTGTTAATCAACCCACAGTTCAGTTTCAAGTCAGATTTTAGCTTTTGCAGGTAACCCCCTCCCCCCCCGGATATTTGGATTAATCAACCCATAGTCCATATCAAATGCTTTTAAAAAAATATTCATATCTTTTCAACCCTTACTCCAAACTTAACATGTTATAAATGGAATTCGATTAGAAAAATATGTACAATCTGAATATGATATTATTTTATGTGTTAACCATTTTTAAAATACTTCTTGGGGTGAAACCTTAATCAATACTACATGATATGCCTTTCTTTTGTATCGGTGCAGATTCGGATTGGAAATTAACACCTCCGCAAAACCAGATTGGAGGCAAAAGAACCCATCTATAACCACGCATGCACGCCTTGTCAAAACCTCGCAGAGAAAAAAACAAATTTCTCATCTTATGTTGAGAGAGAGACGCCTTATAATTGATCACATTCAAATATGTTGTGATTGAGTGAGCACTAAGGCCATCATCGACGAGGGTGGGAGGGAGGATAAGCAAAAAAACAGATGTGATGCCATGTTTTGAAATAAAGGATGTAGACCTATTGGCGTCTTGAGTTATGATTACTGGGTTTGGGATATATGGTATTTTTTTCCCTGATGCAATGCACGTGCTCCTTTGCTAGTAAAAAAAAGTGGATGTGTTCCTCCTCCCCAAATCCCATATGCTCCTCTGTCTAGGATGTCGTCCTCTGCCTCTCCTCACCTATTGCCTCCGGATGCTCGCTCCCGTCTCCTCTCAATGCCCTTGCCCACCGCCCTTCACCTGTCATCCTCCTAGAGCTCTCCACTCCGTCTCCTCGGCACCAAATGTTGGTCATGGATGGGAACAAGACTGCAATGTAGATGGCCCAATGAAGGGAGAGGGAGGGTCAAGCAGACTTCGGTTCATGTCGCTGCGCCGCCACTGGACGTCGAGGGTATAGGCAACGCGCGCTACTCGACAAAGGGCATTGCCGCCGCGGCTGCGCCTGCGACTATTTGGCGGGGAGTTTCTCGAGGCTGAGGCCGTGCGGGACAAGCCTCATGGCACTGTGGCTCGCCATCGGGAGGCTTCTTGGCACCAAGGACGTGGAAGAGGGCTACACCTGGACCGGGACCGGAGGGTGTAGTCGTAGTGATTGGTGGAATGGCCTACTGGAGGCTTCTTCGTCGACAGGACGGCCACCGGGGTCCGCGGACACGCCAATAAGTAGTGGCGGAGCTAGCACTTGATAACGGGGTGGTCCGCCCCCCATTTTTTATAAGCAAAATGACGTGTGAACGTTCTAACTAATTACCGATATCACATAGAAATAGATCAATATGGTCTTACAAACATGCTAAAAATCTCAATTAAATCTCAGTTTTTCATAAAGAATCCTACATACTACATACTATATGGACCATATTATATACCTTGAGAAGTTCAACAGACTATGTTTCTGGCCAACACTTTTGCATTGCCATGAAGATATAGATTATATCATCTTCATTCACCTTGGAGAAAGCATCCCTCTCATTCACAAGTTCTCAAGTTGGTTCTTCGGTCACATCCGGCACATTCCCTGCCTTCTTCTTCCGTGTCTTCATGGCTTCTCTCTGGAAAAGGGAAACAATGTCTCCGGCCCTCTTCATTGTTCAATAATTCTGCAATAAAAATTACTTTCTTTCAGTAAATCTAATTGAGGCAGAAATGATGTGCAAAAACATAC